CACCCACCCACCCACCCACCCACCCACCCACGCACCCACCCACCCACGCACCCACCCACCCACGCACCCACGCACCCACGCACCCACGCACCCACGCACCCACGCACCCACGCACCCACGCACCCACGCACCCACGCACCCACGCACACACGCACCCACGCACACACGCACCCACGCACCCACGCACCCACGCACCCACGCACCCACGCACCCACGCACCCACGCACCCACGCACCCACGCACCCACGCACCCACGCACCCACGCACCCACGCACCCACGCACCCACGCACCCACGCCCCCACGCACCCACGCACGCACGCACGCACGCACGCACGCACGCACGCACGCACGCACGCACGCACGCACGCACGCACGCACGCACGCACGCACGCACGCACGCACGCACGCACGCACGCACGCACGCACGCACGCACGCACGCCCGCGCACACACACACACACACACACACACACACACACACACACACACACACACACACACACACACACACACACACGCACACACACACACACACACACACGCAGGCACACGCACACGCACACGCACACGCACACGCACGCACACGCACACGCACACGCACACGCACACGCACACGCACACGCACACGCACACGCACGCGCGCGCACGCGCACGCACGCACGCACGCACGCACGCACGCACGCACGCACGCACGCACGCACGCACGCACGCACACGCGCACACGCGCACACGCGCGCACGCGCGCACGCGCGCACGCGCGCACGCGCGCACGCGCACACGCACACACACAGACACACAGAGACACACACACACACACACAAACTTAAATCCCACAAGGGGTAGACACGAAGTTCGAGTAAATCAAGCAAGAAGCAGAGGGGCAGATTCGAGACAGGCTTACGTGTGTTCTGAAGCAAAAGCGGAAGCGCCACACAACCAGAGCCAATGGTCATGCAAAAGCAACCAAGTCCAACATCAGGAGAAGTTGTGGCTCAAATTGAAAGCAGGTACGTTGAGGTGATCAGCCTCGATATCACAGGACAAGTGCGGCGTCTTCGTTGGATGCCGACCGCACAGGTCCCCGGCATCCCCCTGCTGCAACTTGTGAAATGGTTCCAGGGTACGCGCGCACTCGCGCGCTCGCGCACTCGCGCACTCGCTCACTCGCGCACTCGCGCACTCGCGCACTCGCGCACTCACACACAGACACGTGGATGTCGTTGGAAAGGTCCTTTGTACTCAAGGGGAAGGCCTTTTTGTCTTACTGTTGCGCTTTGCGAAAGCTGCGAGATGGAGGTTCGCGAAAGTTGTTCTTTCTCGCGAAAGTTTCGTGTAAGGGTGGCCAAAAGGAAGACATCCCGGCAATGACTGCAGTTGACCGGGCTTAGGGCTTAAGCTTAGGGTTTAGGTTTGGGGGTTCAGATTTAGGGTTTTTAGGGTTTAGGTTTGCCCGCAAAGCACCTTTTTAGGTTTCGGCTTAGGTTTAGGGTTTGACCTACCGTTTTCTGCAGCAAGTTGGTATCATGGGCCTTCCCTCAATTGGAGAGGCAACCTTCCTCAGGAGTGCTCCTACCGTTGTGCTCCCAACACGTCGTGGGAGAGGTGTCAGAGTTTATTTAACCTCTTTCTATGCTTCCGGGCTACCCGTCGTCAAATTAAACCCAATACTATTTGTGGCCCTCTGCGAGAGTCTCTTTGAGAACAACCCGTCGTGCTTCGTTTTCTAACGATTAGGTTGAAACTTCTGAGACTAGATGTTATATCCGGCCGTTCCCATTTCCCATTCTCTCCAAGCATCCCCTTCTGCAGAGAATGATTCGAAAACTCCTAAAATTATCCCGGCAAGAGACCCCCGAAGGTCAGTCCCTCCACTTCGAAGCCCTGACGGTCACGAGCCATGTGGAAGCTGGTGTAGGCCCACTTTCCGGTGGTGCAGGGAAGCCCCCGTCCAAGTGCATGCGGACGACCAACCGAACGGAATCACAAAAAGAGTAGCGCTCATTTATCCGGGCATGGCGATTTTCTCGCCGGTGACAGGCGCAGTGTGTCGAGATCTCGCCCGCAAGTTGATGAAACCGCCTTATGCCCTCCCGAAACATGGCCTTGTCTCCCTAAGTTTCGAGGGAACCTCTGGGTGGCTTCCCTCCGGAAAAAGGGCGCTGCTTTCGCCTGGTGCCCCCAATAGCCCGCCCAGAACTCCAAAAGTCGCGCAGAGTTGCAGAGTTGCCCAGGACCACGCCGGGTGCGAGGTCGTGAAGGCGCGCTGCGGGCTGCGGGCTGCGGGCTTGCGGTTTTGGCGGCTCTTTGGTCGAGCTGAAATAAGCAGCCCCGGTTGGAAACCACCAACACAATGAGCGTTGGGGCCCAACCAGTCTTTTTTTTTCATGGGGTTTGAACTCCAGGGTAGCATAAACCTTCAACTTGTCTGGAAAACGTGTTGTCTCTGTTTGTTGTCTCGTGTACTATGCCTCCGTTCAAGCAGCCGGCATGGGCCTGGTCGCAGGGTCCTCGAACGCAGTCGGCAGAGCAGCTGCCTCACTGGGCAGAGCGCTAAAATCGCTTCATCCATGCTGCGTCAAAGGGCATGCGAATGAAAAGAACAACAAAAAGACTAATGGTCACCCCTGCTTTGTAAAGGCGCCCCGTTCAAGGTCAACAAGCCCCTCAAACTGAGAGGTTTTTGAGGATCCCCTGATTAGCTTCGGTCCCGTTCCTTATACTTTGGGCCCCCCTGCCAATTTCAACTCGAAACAGGAACCTCGAGAACCTTTTGCTGCTGGGATGCTGGCCTCCAAGGGGCGAGTCCCATACTCCAGGGCCACGCTCATGTGTCGGGTACGTCCCGCCCGCAGACCTGCTGCGACGACCAGTTCTCGCTTTGCTTCTCGGGCAATGCGCCTCTTGGCAGATGTTTCAAGCAGGGATGGGTGTGGACTGGGGACGCTATGGCATCGGCGTCGCGGGACACAGAGGCGCCGTGTATTTGCGCGACCAGCGCCGCTAGTTGCTCCTGGGCGCTGAAAGTGGTAGTTGAGGGAATCTCAAACTTACTTTTTGGGACAGGGAAGTTTCAGTGGTTTCCCTTGCCACGACGGGGGTCAATTGGAGGTCGCTTTATGGGCCCAGTTTTTGGCACCCCAATTTGAAGATCCTGCTTTTCCAAAGAAGCTGGTCGATTTCCATGACTTCTTCGGGTTGGCTGGGGTCCGGCCCTGGGACTCATTTTGGACACTGGCATGCGAGAGCAATCTCATTTCCTTGACTAGCTTTCAAGGCGTGGGTGCTTTTTCTTGAGGCAAGCTCTTCTGGAAAAGGTTTGGAAGGAAACCAAACAGAAATAGCAATTTTTCTGGTTCCACATTCCAAGGCGAAGCAACACACAGGGGAGGGGGCGTCCTGAGTCAGTCCAGTAGAAACTTACTGGTAAAAGCACACTTCGGGTTGGAACCCCAAAAAGCATCAGACTATGAAACGTGATTCAGGATATGATATATACACTGAGATGACCACTCTATTGGTAGTGCTCTCAAGTTTGAAATGGATATCCATGAGAGGACTCTCATTTGCGATTCGGGGAGGGGGCGGGTGGTCTCTGACAAAGCCGAGGTCGCGTACCGTGGAGGTCCAGAGAGTGGACAGCGAGATTGGCTGGCCCCAGCAGGCGCGTCGGATGAACAGTGCTTAGACTCTGCCAGGAGTTGCTTTTTTGAGTCGCGAAGTGGGGCCAAGATTGCTAGTGGACCTTTTGGTCTGAAAGCCGGCATCTTTGCCCTTGTGGCCAGTCTCAAGCAAGGATGTCAAGGAAGAGTTCCCTGGTGTATGGGTTTCAATTTCTCATGTGCTAAACAGGGAATGTGGACCCTTTCTTGACCCAGCTTGTTTTTGGGCCAATGAAAAGGTAACAAGGAGGTCAAACCCCCCCCCCCCCTTCCGCCCTCACCCCCCCCCCTCAACCTAATACGCTCTGCTTTTGAACCTGCCCGTAGCCGAGCTGAGGGCTTGGTCCGAATTGGCTCGATAGGTGGGATGGGGTCAAGACCTCTACCTGCGCTGCTACGCGCCCTCGGCGGGCGCCTGAGAAAGTGCTATGCGCCCTCGGCCGGGTGGGCGGTTGGGCGGGTGGGTGGGTGGGTTTTCGTTGTGTTTCTCTACAAACAGGTTGCCCTACCGTTGTCTCAAAAAGGGACATGCAGTTTTTGTTAGAGGTCAAAGGAATCTATGGGATTTCCAGAAATTTACCAAGGACTGCGATCTGCTTGGGAAGCTGTGTACACTGAAGTATTATATGCGTGGGTGGCTTTCCTTTGTGTATTTATGTTTCTCTTTCTGTGTGTGTTTTGTTCCAACCCCACCCCACCCCACCCCACCCCGCCCCGCCCCGCCCCACGCCGACCAACCCACAAACCAACCCCAACCCAAACCCCAACCCCAACCCGAACCCCACACCCCACACCCCACACCCCACACCCCACACCCCACACCCCACACCCCACACCCCACACCCCACACCCCACACCCCACACCCACACACCCCCACACCCCCACACCCCCACACACCCACCCCACCCCACCCCCACACACCCACCCCACCCCACCCCACCCCACCCCACCCCACCCCACCCCACTCCACCCCACCCCACCCCACCCCACCCCACCCCACCCCACCCCACCCCACCCCCCCCCACCCCACCCCACCCCACCCCACACCCACCCCACCCCACCCCACCCCACCCCACCCCACCCCACCCCACCCCACCCCACCCCACCCCACCCCACCCCACCCCACCCCACCCCACCCCACCCCACCCCACCCCACCCCACCCCACCCCACCCCACCCCACCCCACCCCACCCCACCCCACCCCACCCCACCCCACCCCACCCCACCCACACCCCACCCCACCCCACCCCACCCCACCCCACCCCACCCCACCCCACCCCACCCCACCCCACCCCACCCCACCCCACCCCACCCCACCCCACCCCACCCCACCCCACCCCACCCCACCCCACCCCACCCCACCCCCCCACCACCACCCCCCCACCCCCCCCACCCCACCCCCCCCACCCCACCCCACCCCACCCCACCCCACCCCACCCCACCCCACCCCACCCCACCCCACCCCACCCCACCCCACCCCACCCCACCCAACCCAAACAAACCCAACCCAACCCTCCAACCCTCCAACCCTCCAACCCTCCAACCCTCCAACCCTCCAACCACCAACCCACTTCATCACCCACCCGCCCAACCCAACCCACCAACCCACCAACCCACCAACCCACCAACCCACCAACCCACCAACCCACCAACCCACCAACCCACAACCCACCAACCACCACCCCACCCACCAACCCACCAACCCACGTGTGATCTTTCGTTTGATGGCAGTATGTGGTGTAGCCGCGGTTTGGGTAGACGTGGTTTCCAAGTCTTGAGTACACCTGATCCTTTGTTGTTCTCAGCCAGCCCCAATGTCAATCGTCAGACACTGCAGGTTGCCAGCTTCGCGCCTTCGACGGCCCATGCCCCGAACAGTCGGCGAGAGGGGAAACTTGGATGACCAGACAATGGAAAATAACCCTAGCTCAATAACTTCTCTAGGGAGGAGGTACCCTCCACAGGACCCACTGGAGGGACTTACTTACCAAGCACTTTCTTTGGGGCTGGTCAGGTCATGCAAGAAAAAGCTGGCTGGCCGGGGTCGGTTGCTGAGTACGGCAAGGGCAAATTGCCAACAGGGAAAGCACAGACTCTCTGTTGCGATGTTCACGGAATCCCTGGGGGTCAGTTTTACACCGTACTAGAGATGAAAATTTCCAGGCCTTTGCTTGGATGATCTCCAGGCCTTTGCTTCTTCTTTTTTTTTTTAACCGCGGTGGCCGCTTCGGCGCGGCTCAAAAAAGGTGTCGCGGCCGGGGGTTCCACGGGTTTCACGTTGCCATCTCCATGAGGACGCGGTGGGAGCGGGGCGCGATGCAGCGAGGTGCCCGCGGAGCCGCCGTGGTACCTGCGCCTGGAGGAGTCCACCCATGCCCGGGGGCCAAGTCTCTTCGCTGTGGAGCTGATGGGTCGAAATCCCAGGTCGCCACCGGGAAGCCAGGGGAAGCCACTGGCTTGTTGGAATTTATTTTTAGGGGAAGGGTCGTTCCAGGGGGGTTCGGTGGGCAGGGTTTCGTGGGGTTTCATGCAGGAAGCTTTCGTTGCAATCCGCTGGGTGCTTGAAATGTGGTTCTTTCAAGGCTTGAAGCAACCTGAGGAAATCCGGGAAAATGGTTGGGACCGAGTTACTGGCCTACTGGTTTCCATGGCTAGCATGGTCAGCCTGAAAAGATGAGTAATGGTCAAGACAAGCCCTTTGAAATTGCAAGACAAAATGCAAGGCTGCCTTGTTAACCGTATGCAGTTTCTTGGAACTGGGTGACATTGAAAGAGGTATACCGCTTGCTTACTTGTTGTACATGTCTCAGCGAGAGTCATAGTCACATGTGCAGCTCTTGTCTAAAAAAGATCCTACAGGGAGGGGAAGAAGGCCCTTCCTAGCCTTCAGGATGCATGAGGGGACATGGGGGGCAACAAAATACCCATACTACCTGGGGGGGCAGTGGCAATATCCCATTCTGCCATGAGGTGAAAAATGGTTAGGTCCGTGGCTCACGTCCATTCCTTCCGGGGAACATCCAGGTGACGGCGAAGCTGGATTTCCACCACGGCAACGTCATCGGCGGGAGGGCCTGGGCCGGAGGGATCGATGCCAGCTGCAAAGGCCAGCTTAAGACAGTTGGCTTCCCCCGTTCGGTCAAACTTAGACTTGGGGACAAAGGGACGCACTTTTTGGGAGGGCTCTCAAGGGCAACCAAAAGTATGTTGGGAGCCGTGCCAGGCTCGTTTTGGCGCAATCCCAGCGTGAACTTTGAGGTTTCCCTGGACGAATTCGAGCTGGCCTTGGTTAGCCATGCGGAAAGGGGAGTACCGACTTGCAGACACACGGCCTATTCCTGGTTTGAGCAGCCAGCCTAGGGTACGCTCCTTCCAATCATGGAAGCTGCCAGGAGGGTTTTGGAAGACTGTCCCTCTCCACTTCCATGACAACTCGTTCCCGGCGTCGCGAATAGGTGGCTGCGAGTGCTCCAATCACGCGATCCAGACGCGTGTGTCAGGCGCGGGTTCAGGAGTTGGCACATGAGGGCGACATATGTTTGAGCAGCCCCTGCACCTTGTAAGGGAAGGCAAACGGAGGTTGGGTTCCAGTGTTAGAGTCTAGAACTTCTTTTTGACATCCGGTGAAAGTTGATCAGCCACTAAGATCAGTGCACATATTTGCCCCGCGGTTTCGCCTCATTTGGTCCACGGTCCCTCGGCTCGGTCCAGGCTCCGACTGGATCGATGCGGGCGGCGATTGTCGGGGCCTGAGAAAGTGACTCGCCCTCTCGGCCGAGTTTTAGGGAGACCCATGGCCTCAACGAAATGAGGAGCCAATGGTTGAGGTTTGTTTCCCTTGGCACGCTCTCCCAAAGCCACATTTCAAAGTGAAGCCAACTGTAAACCTGACTGCTATTGGGTTGGATCTTTAGACTTTCACCTTTTAGGACATCAAGTGGTTTCCCACTAAACCCCCCAAAAAGTTAAACTTTTTGCAGGGGGGTCAACAGCAACCAAGTAAATGACTTCTGGCAACAGCTTGGCCTCACTCCTTTCCCTCAACCCCTTCGAACAACACCTTTCCTTTTCCCCCAAGCCCTCCCATCTCCCCCATCCCCACCCAAACCCCATGGCCGCTCCTTTTTTGGCCCATCCCCCCCCCCCAAAACCCCCCCGCTGCCGCTTCCGAGGCTTGGCCCGGGACACCCGGACCTGCACCCTGGAAAACCTGGCCGACGCCTCGGATCGGTTCGGACCAGCGAGAGGCTCCTGCGACGAGTAGGAACGATGGGCAGGTGAAATTTACTGGCCGGTGCGAGAGGTCGGCTCTATATACTGCAAGTAGGGCAGTATGGGAAACCAGGTAACTTGCCACAAGGTGTTTGTTTGCGCTTGGCTGGTTTAGTTGCAATATCTACCAAATCACCCGAGTTCACCTCTAGACTATGTTCACTTACATGTTGGTTTCCGTATCTGTTTGCTTGTCCGCGAAGTCAAGGGGTGCTATATGAGGGTTGCTCAAAATGGCCCCGTTTTGGGCGGTTGTAAGGCCAACGAAAAGGAACAACACATTGTGGGGTTTCCCTCTTTTGAGAATCCCCCCACACAATGGAGAGCGGATATTTTTTTCAGAACCCTTCCTTTGAGAAGCCTTTCCCGGGAGCAAGGAACCCAATTCGCGGATCTACACCCGCGTGCAGGCGCGGGGTAAGATCTGTCACCTTTGAAGCGCAGGGGTCACATGGCGTCTATGTCTCCCACTTAAAGCGCAATCATCCTGGGAATCCTGGTCCAAGAGCCGTGCAAACAGTCAAGTGACAGCAACAAGCTGGGACAGCAAAGCTGCTGGATGGTGCCGGCAAACTGCATTCTTCTTGGAAAGTAAGGCAGGAGCCCCTGGTTGAGCTATCAATGTTGTGAATCCTAGAGCTCTGGCAATCCTAAAGGTTTGGTGGTCCGGCAATATATATATATATATACATACACATATAGGCACATGCACACAGACATATACATTTACACAGAGATCCATTGGTTGCACATGTTCGCGGCATCGATTTGAAGCCATCGGCTTCGCCTTTGTCAGACCACCTGCTTGGACGCGTCCATGAGCAGCGCCTCGGCGAGTTGGGCCCTGTCGACCCCCAAACGATTTTTCTCCGGCCGATTCCAAGAGGGAAAAAGGCAGGTAACAAAAACAGAGTCGGGGTTGAGGGGAAAACCGCGGTGCTTTTGTTGCAGAATTTTGGTTGGGCCCTGTGTTTGGCGAGTTTTCAACGGAAACTCGTTTAGTTGGCTGAAACGGGAAGGTTTGCGGCGGACACCCTGTAGATCTGCCGACTTTAGGTGTACCTTTGTGAGCATCAGGCTTCTGGGCATGTGAATGGCACATGTTTATGTCTTTGTATATAATACACACACAATATGCAATGTGGATGGGCCTGGGAGCTCTGCAAATCAGCTTTCACCTTAGCATGTGTTGTGCCAACAGGTCCTGCTATGGTCTGACATATGCCTCATGTGTGGGATTTGGACGCAGGAGCCACTTTTCTTGAAAGTTATGTGCTTGTCGGGGCCATTTTACTATCACGGAAAGGGAGGGAGCTTTTCCATTATGTCTCGCAAACTACAGCATCTGCACATGTTTGTCCCGCTCCCAGGCAATTGGTCGGACCTGGTGGATATCGTCACTCGCCCGGCAGGGGCCCAATCCAGACGAGGGTAGTCCATCTGGACAACCCCTTTTGGTCAAGGGATGGTCCAGTTGCCCGGGTGCCATTTGGGCTCCAACACCCTCCTACTTAGCAGGTGGCATCCTTGGGGGATCCAGTTGCCCTTAGGTAATCAGGGGGACCATCATGTAAAATCTGGAACAAAGCCCTGGTTGCCATCTAAACCGAATCAGCATTGGGTTACTTCCTTCTAGGTGAATGCCTCCCTTCATCCTTCTCTGCCATGCCAAGCCTTGGCAGCCATCCACGGGCCATTTGTGCCATTCAGTACGTAATGGTCAGGTTTCCCTCAGCAGGACTCGCAAAAGTCCATGAAGGGTATACCATTTCTACCAGACAAAAGTGGTTTGCTTTTTTTAAAGCACAGTATGTCCATTCTTGTTTTTGTTTGCGTTTTTCCCTACCGCCGGCGCTTGTTTTCTCCACCTCCCGGGGGCGGTTTGGGCCGTTTTATCCCCGGGAAACAGAGGCGTGCACCTGGACCTTCGACTCCAGCTTTCTGGGCGGCGCTGCAGATGAGCCCCGGAGCTCGGCGTTGGCCATACCGCCCCTTCCCCCGTTTTTTTTTAAAACCGGGACACCGAAGGTTCCCTAAGTTTTTCCTCTAAAAACTAGGAGGACGTAGGGGATTCTTTACTTCGAGGGCGCAACATGGCATCCTCGAACTCGGAGCCCATTTGTGGAGCTGTGGACTTTGCAACTGGCTTGCCCTGCCTTTTCTTGAATCAATCCATATCCACAATCAAGACCCAGGTGGATCAGATGAAGGTTGGCGGGTGCAGCAAGACGCCCTTGAATCCTTTCCATCGTTCTGGGCAGATTCCCTCAGAACCTTTTGATTCTTAGTCAGGCACGTGAAAGAGAGGGGATCCATAGGCTTCACTTTATGGGCCCCATGGGCCCATCCCGTCATGAATCCCCTTACGCCCTGTGGGGACTTCTCAGCAGAAAGCACCGCGAGGGGCTCCCAGCAATCCACGGCATGTGGGGAAAGCCTCCAGAAAACGTGAAATGGGATCGCCTACAGTTGGGTGAAAGCAGATGGCATTGCAACTCATTCTGGTTTTGTCATTCCCGTTACTTGCCCACAGCGGAATTGTGCCATCTACTTTTCACCCTGATGCAAAGTGTTGGCATTTTCTTCAGGTCTGGTCTGAGGCCGTCAGTCTAGCCTAGCGTAGAAGAATTCTTTGAAGCATACGTTGTGACAAGGTTTGCAAACTCACCGAACATGACAATGTGGGAAAAAGGGGGGGCTTCATTTGTTCCTCCGACAAACGCCTCCCTACATGGCTCCAGTGGCTTTGTGCCGACCATTTGCTTGGCTTTGCTGCCCATCTTTGTTACCTGGCTTAGAAAGATAGTGTTGGGTTGGCTCCCGAAATCTGAGAGCCTGAGAACCAACCGAACAGTCCTCAAGAAACCAGTCGAAGGCAAGTTCAGATTGCAGCGGAGGTTTGAATGCGTCGACAAGTCCTTCTGCAACGCAACGGAGCCGCAAAGGGCCCCAGCTTGCTCCAGCTCGGTGTGACGCTTCGAGGGGGCCCTTTTCAGAGGCTACGTTGCCGGGGATTATTTTGGGGGAAGCCTGGCAGTTCTGGGACTCCCCTTCAACTTGTTTCGGTGTCACATGCCTTCAAAGGAGGGGTTAAGATGGAAACCCAAAAAGCTCGATCCAGGAAGGAGTTCATGGAGCGGTAGCCACTCTCCCACCAGCAAGCATGGGTATGCACAGGCACCATTTGGAAGACTACCTCCCTTTGGAAAGGCTTTCTGTGCACTTCCATGCTAGTGAGAGGGAGGGTAACAGGAGAAAGCGCATGCTGTCCTCTTGAAAGTGGGGTCCTTGCTATTTGAATGTGAGTGCGAGGATAAAGTGTGTACAGGGTGCCTCCTGCATTAGCCCGTACTGGGATTGGGGCCCTTTGGGGGCTCTTTGACCGGATGTTTTGTGTGTTGGTGCCGCAGTTTTGGGGAGCGTCAGATGTTTGTTTAGCAGAACCAAAGGGAATCTTCCCGCTTTGGAACCTCACAGGTTAGATCCTTGGATGTTAGCTCGGGGAACCAAAAACCTCATGCTCTGCACTTCTTGGCACTCCACCTCGTCATGTTACTGGTGACTTCAACGCCGAGAATGGAACATGCCAGTAAGGCGGTGGAGAACAACTCACCCCCTGAGTTGTTGGGCTTTAAACTTTTTTTGGGAGACCATTTTAGTGCCAAACATGGCCAATCCACTCAGAAGTGAGACATGAATAGATGAGTCGACACATGGGCAGGTAAATGAACAGCTAGACAAATCCCCAATTTAATACATCTTACATATTTGACTACGAACAGATAACATAAGTACAACGTTCCGTACGAAAACGCAGGCGCTTGTAACTGGCATTGGTGCGCTCGTGTGTATGTGTGTGTGTGTGGATTGGGGACCGTTCTAGATTTCAAGGCTTCAAATACAGGGCGGTCCTGAAGTGCTACGAAAGAGGGTGGTCCTTGTTCTGCTTCCATGAAATGGAACGCCCATCGCGAAAGGCCGAAAGGAGCGCGAAAGGACTGCGCAGAGAACAACGGACAACGAATAAGAATGCGTGATTTTGGTTTCTTGCTGAACCAGTTTTTCCGTGGAGTGCCAACAAAGCCCGAGTTTCACCGACGAGCTCGGTAAAAAGAACGCGAAAGGAGCCAGAAACGGCGAGCTCCCAAAGTGGCGCCTAGCCCTTCGACCAAAACAAAAGAGACACCTCCAGCAGTTCATCGTCAAGCGGCTTATCTGCTTCTCAAGAAGCAGAGAAGAGCACAATTGCTTGAGCACGAGCTTTGCAAGACTGATTTGGGACAACTGGGAGCCGCGACAGGAAGGCGAATGTCCGGCGAACCCTCATTTTCAGGCATTTTTATCATGAACAACCTTCATTTGTGTACGTTTAAACATATAAAGCCAAGCATACATCAATGTATACATGTACATAACCGAATAGACGCATAGACAAACACATGAAAAACACATTATGAATGACACGCATAGACACACACACACACACCATACACACATATAAAACATATGTATATCTATCTATCTATCTATCTAATCTATCTATCTATCTATCTATCTATCTATCTATCTATCTATCTATCTATCTATCTATCTATTAATCTAATCTAATCTAATCTAATCTAATCTAATCTAATCTAATCTAATCTTATCTATCCATCTATCTATCTATCTATCTATCCTATCTATCTATCTATCTATCTATCTATCTATCTATCTATCTATCTATCTATCTATCTATCTATCTATCTATCTATCTATCTATCTATCTATCTATCTATCTATCTATCTATCTATCTATCTATCTATCTATCTATCTATCTATCTATCTATCTATCTATCTATCTATCTATCTATCTATCTATCTATCTATCTATCTATCTATCTATCTATCTATCTATCTATCTATCTATCTAATATATCTATCTATCTATCTAATATATCTATCTATCTATCTATCTATTTATCTATCTATCTATCTATCTACCTAATCTA